TTATCAAGGAGACGGATCAAGTTTGCTAGTTTAAACATAGAATCTTGTGCCATATCAGTTATCGGACGTTGGCGATCATGTTGGCGATCCTGTTTTTATCAGCAGCCGCACAAAAAAGTGCTGCTGAGTTTTGTCCAAACCAGTCCCTTAGATTTTGAAGCCACAATGTTCTTCTTCTGCCTGGACCTCGTTTGCCTTCCATCTTTCCCTGGAGGATTAAATGGAGTATGCCGTATTTTTCTGGGTGGCGCATCACATGTCCGAAATATTCTAATTTTCGTTTTTTAATTGTTTTGATGATTTCCCTTGGCTTTCCTGGGCGGCTTATCACCTCCTCATTTCTGACCTTGTCAACCCAGCTTATACGTGACAGCCGCCTGTAAATTCACATTTCAAATGCTTCTAATCTCTTCAGGTGGCCTTCTGTCTGAGACCAACTCTCTACTCCATAGAGCAGGATAGAAAAAAATATAGCATCTGACAAGCCTGATTTTCAGTCTTAGGCTTATGTCGTGACTGCAGAAGACCTTTTTCATTTTGAAAAATGCTGTTCGGGCTTTTTCTATCCTTGTCTTTACTTACATAGAATTTATTTACATAGAATGTAGAGCTGAAATAATACCCTTGGACTGGAGTATCTTTTTTATTAAATGGTAAATCTTTCTCTCCCCCCCCCCAAAAAAAAATTCTTTTGAGTCAAATTTGACTCCTGGTGACTGTGTGGAGAAATCCCTGCAGTTTTCTTGACAAATTTTGGAAAGGTTTGTCCTTGTCTCTTTCACTCCTTGAAAGAGAGTGACTGGCCCAAAGTCTCCCAGCTGGCTTTGTGGCTAAAATGGGGCTATAACTCATGGTCTCTCAGTTTCTAGCCTGATGCCTTAACCCAGGGGTAGGCAACCTTGGCTCTTTTATGACTCGTGGACTTCAACTCCCAGAATTCCTGAGCCAGCCATGCTGAGGGGAAAGGGAGAGGTTTCCAAGCCGAGCCATGGTGGCTCAGGAATTCTGGGAGTTGAAGTCCACGAGTCCTAAAAGAGCTGAGGTTGCCTACCCCTGCCTTAACCACTGTACCAAACTGGCTCTTAAGCGGTTCAAAGAAGAATACTAGCACACATATGGATACTGTTGTAGAAGAGAAGTGAGAAACTGTTATAGAAATGGCTTGTATATCTGTTGTGTAAAAGCAAAAAGTTGTTATAAGTTTGTTCCCTTCTACTGTGCTAAAGAGAGTCGGAAGTCAGTGCCCTTTTCTTTTTTCCCCCTTCTTTACACTATCCCCCTTTTCTCTTAGTTTTCCACATTTTTTCCTTGTATTTTATATTTTGATAAAATTAATAATAATAATCTTTATTGATTAGCCCTTGGGCCATATCAAAGTGCAAAGTTCCAGCAACAAATTATTACTAAAGTTTGATAAAAGCAATTTAAAATGAAATTTGATAAAATACAGTTTAAAATGGAATTAGAGTAAAATACGACTTAAAATGAAATTGGAGTAAAATACAGTCTAAAATGAAATTAAAATAGAGTACAGTAATTTAAAATATAGATACAATATGATAAAATTATGTCTTGGAGTCACCCTTGCAATCTACCCCAATCAGTCCCACATATGCAGACCTCAACCGAATCATTTTGTTTAAATACTGTGCTGCGTTAAATGTTATTTTCAAGTTCTGGCCGCACATAAGGTGAGTTGTTTTGATATGGGGATCCCAATGAGTCATTTGTTTGGTATATAGACCGAGGTACCTGTCTCTCACCCTCTTGCACAGGCAAAATCAAATAGTATGTGAGCCAGGTCTTCTACCTCTGCCGCTCCACAAATGCAAATATGCTCATTGTAAGGTATAGAATGGAATCTCCCATATCTGACCATTGTGTCAAGCTGTTCGAATCTCGCTCGCGTAAATATCTCCCTAAGGTGTTTTGGCAGTTGTAACTTCAAATAGCTGTCTACTTCAAAAGTACGTTTGTATTTACTCAGCCATTTCAAGTTACCCACCTTTCTAAGGATCGCTATATCATTTTGTGCTTCTATACCCTTAATTCTTTGGGAAGCTCTTTTTTTGAATTGTTCTCCTATTACACAAGAGACAGGAAGACCACAGCTTCTTACAAAATTTGTTAGTTGATAAAATTAATAAAATTTCTGAAAGAAAAAAAAAAGGTGAGAAAACGAGGAAGTTGGCCATTATACAGGCTGGACGGTAGACAGTTTGTGTGACAAGGGCCCAGGAAGAGCTAACAATCCTCAGGGGGACTGAGTACCTTTCAGGAAGGAGAAACGAAAACACAGATGCAGATCCTGACATCCATCCATCCATTTTTGCTTCCAGGAGAGCACAAAAAGAAATGTCAAGGAGATATACATATATATATTTCTTATTGTGTGGAATTTGTGCTTGGTTGAGTCATTCTGTGTGTCATTTCTCTCTCTCTCTCCCTTCCTTTTTCACATTCAGAGAGGAGGCTCAGCATTTGCCACCCTGGCTCAGAGTGATGAGGAGGAAGCAGAAGAAATCAAGCCCAAGGAAAAATCTAAGGTGCAGGAGAAGAGGAATGTTGAAAAATGAGAGCTGAAGTGCGCAGAGACCAGCTGATGGATAGATCTCTAATTAGGTTCTGGTTGGGATTGTTTGTTAGCTGGTCAAAGTAGCTCCGTTGGGTAGAATTCAGGGTTTGAGCTCATCTTTTCCAGGGGATGCCAGACCCTAAATATTGAAACACTGATCTAAACTGGAAGTGATCTCTTAAGTCGCTGTCTTCTCCTATTCAATTTCCAAGGGTAACAACTGTGAAGGCTAATAGTAGTAGTAGTAGTAGTAGTAGTAGTAGTAATAATAATAATAATAATAAGGAGGAGGAGGAGGAGGAGAAGTAGTCGTAGTAGTAGTAGTAGTAGTAGTAGTAGTAGTAGTAGTTGGAAGGGACCTTGGAGGTTATCTAGTCCAACCCCCTGTTCAGGTAGGAAACCCTATACCATTTCAGACAAATGGCTGTCCAGTCTCTTCTTAAAAACTTCCAGTGTTGGAGCATTCACCGCTTCTGGAGGCAGGTTGTTCCACTGGTTAATTGTTCTAACTGTCAGGAAGTTTCTCCTTAGTTCTAGGTTGCTTCTCTCCTTGATTAGTTTCCATCCATTGCTTCTTGTCCTGCCCTCAGGCGCTTTGGAGAATAGCTTGACTCCCTCTTTTGGGGGGCAGCCCCTGAGATATTGGAACACTGCTATCATGTCCCCCCTCGTCCTTCTCTTCGTTAAACTAGACATACCCAATTCCAGCAACCGTTCCTTATATGTTCTAGCCTCCAGTCCCCTAATCATCTTTGTTGCTCTTCTCTGTACTCTTTCTAGAGTCTCAGCATCTTTTTTACATCGTGGTGATCAAATGCCATCTCTGTGGCATTATTGTCTCTTACCCTACTAACTACAATACAAGTAGTCCTGGCTTACCGATCTCTCATTCAGTGACTGTTCGAATTATGATGACACTGGATGAGTGATACTGAAACAAATATCAAAACTCCAGCTGTTGCTTTTGTCTCTCTCTCTCTGTGTGTGTGTGTGTGTGTCATAAAACGACCATCTTTCCCCACCCCTGATCTAGTGGGACAGGGTGCTTTCATCCCCGATGAGCAGAAAGCAGACTATTTTGAATTAAGAATAGTTTCTTTCCTTAAGGAGAGATGTTTCTGAGTAGGCTGATAATTTTTAATGGGTGTATTTCGACAGTTAGGTTATTTGCAAAGCTGGAAGAGAGTTGGAATTACTATTGTGTTTTTTGTTTTGTTTCCTTGCTTAACAAAATGTTTACGCCCATTTCCTTGGTTTTCATTTTAGGCTGGAGCCAAACAAGCTGCTCAGTCTGAAGAAACTACCCAAAAAACAAAAGGGAAAAAGAATCAGCCAGCCAAGGTAAGTGTACACAATCTAATGAAGAAGCCAGAATGGCCAGTTTTGATGGTTGTGTGGAAGATGCGTGTGATTCCGTTACTGCTCTGTGTGCTGAGTATTGCCTTTTTCAGCAAGGTCAGAGCAGCTAATAATAATAATAATGATAATGATGATAAAGTTGGAAGGGACCTTCGAGGTCATCTAGTCCAACCCCCTGCTCAGGCAGGAAACCCTATACCATTTCAGACAAATGGCTGTCCAGTCTCTTCTTAAAAACTTCCAGTGTTGGAGCATTCACCGCTTCTGGAGGCAGGTTGTTCCACTGGTTAATTGTTTTGACTGTCAGGAAGTTTCTCCTTAGTTCTAGGTTGCTTCTCTCCTTGATTAGTTTCCACCCATTGCTTCTTGTCCTGCCTTCAGGCGCTTTGGAGAATAGCTTGACTCCCTCTTCTTTGTGGCAGCCCCTGAGATATTGGAACACTGCTATCATGTCCCCCCTCGTCCTTCTCTTCATTAAACTAGACATACCCAATTCCAGCAACCGTTCCTCATATGTTTTAGCCTCCAGTCTCCTAATCATCTTTGTTGCTCTTCTCTGTACTCTTTCTAGAGTCTCAACATCTTTTTTATATCGTGGTGACCAAAACTGGATGCAGTATTCCAAGTGTGGCCTTACCAAGGCATTGTAAAGTGATCTTGATTCTATCCCTCTGTTAATGCAGCCTAGCACTGTGTTGGCTTTTTTGGCAGCTGCAGCACACTGCTGGCTCATATTTAAATGATTGTCCACTAGGACTCCGAGATCCCTCTCACAGTTACTACTATTGAGCAAGGTACCCCCTATACTATACCTGTACATTTGGTTTTTCTTGCCTAAATGTAGAACCTTACTTTTTTCACCATTGAATTTCATTTTGTTAGATAGCGCCCAATGTTCAAGTCTGTCCAGATCCTCCTGTATCCTAAGCCTGTCTTCTAGAGTGTTGACTATTCCTGCCAGCTTGATGTCATCTGTAAATTTGATGAGTTCCCCATCTATCCCCTCGTCCAAATCGTTGATGAAGATGTTGAAGAGCACTGGGCCCAGAACAGAGCTCTGAGGCACCCCATTACACACTTCCCTCCATGTAGATGCAGTTCCATTGAGGACCACACGCTGAGTACGGCCGGTCAGCCAGCTACGGATCCATCTGGTGGTGATGCTGTCTAACCCGCATTTTTCTATCTTCTTGATAGAAATCTTTGGACCGGCGTCCGCATCTTAGACAAGCCAAGGTGGTGTCCCTCAAAGAGAGTTCAGGGTCTTTGAATGCAGTTGAATGCAACTGTCAGTTAGGGTGGGCGAGATTGTTAACGATGCAAGCTTAATTAGGGTTTGCAAGCTTAAATAGGAATATTTAAGCAAAAGAAGCTACAAAACTCTAATTTCATAGGATCATGGAATCATAGGATTGGAAGCCACCTTGCAGATCTTCTAGGTCCAATCCCATCTAAGACAAATTGTTATCCAGCCTTTCCTGAAAGCCTCCACCAATGGAACATTTCTTTGCCTTGTTCCTAGGATTTTAGGAGCAGTTTAGACAATTTTGTGTTCCTTTGCTTTTGTCTTCTAGTCCGACTTGGCTCCTGGTACTACATGGGTAAGTCCATGCAGTCTTCTAGGCAACATTTTCTTCTAGGCCAGTGGTGGCGAACCTATGGCACGGGTGCCAGAGGCGGCACTCAGAGCCCTCTCTGTGGGCACGCGCGCCGTCGCCCCAGTCCTAGGCCTTCAGCTGGGTTTTATAAAATCTTTTTGCTTTAGGCCTCCACCGCCGTGTGCAAAAAAAAAAAAGGTTCAATCAGTCAATTTCAACTTCTCGCGGGGAAAAAAAAATCTTGCAAAGTTGGAATTGATTGATTGAACTATTTAGTCCCACCCAGTCTGCCGTTACCACCGCAGCCACGCCCACCCAGTGGGCCACACCCACCCGGCACCCGACGATGCATAATTGGGTTTTGGTTTCAGTTTGGGCACTCGGTCTCTAAAAGGTTCGCCATCACTGTTCTAGGCCTAAGAGAGAGTGATTATCTCAAGGTCAGCCAGCTGGCTTCCATGTCTTAAGCAAGACTGGAACTCCGGTTTATCTGCTTTTAGTCCAGTTACTTAACCCACTAGATAGGAAGCTGGCTTTCAGTCTAGACAACAATATAGAGCAGGGGTAGGCAGCCTTGGCTCTTTTATGACTCGTGGACTTCAACTCCCAGAATTCCTGAGCCAGCCATGCTGAGGGGAAAGGGAGAGGTTTCCAAGCTGAGCCATGCTGGCTCAGGAATTCTGGGAGTTGAAGTCCACGAGTCATAAAAGAACCAAGGTTGCCCACCCCTGATATAGAGGAACTCCTCAACTTACGACTGCAACGGAGCCCAAAACTTATGTTGCTAAATGAGAAACTCGTTTAGTGAGTTTTGCCCCATTTTACGACTTTTCCTGCCACATTCGTTAAGTGAATCACTGCAGTTGTTAAATTAGTAACACTGTGTTTTAAGTGAATCTGGCTTCCCCATTGACTTTGCTCGTCAGAAGGTCTCACAAGGGGATTGCGTGGCCACAGGACACGGCAACCGTCATAAATGTGAGTCAGTTGTCAAGCATCCGAATGTAAACCACGTGACCCTGGGGATGCTGCAACGGTCATAAGTGTGAAAAAATGGTCACGAGTGACTTATTTTCAGTGCCATTGTAATTTCAAACGAACTGTTGTAACTCGAGGACTACCTGTATTCTATATCATGCCCTTCTACAGGTAGTCCTCGAATTACAATCATTCTTTTAATGGCCATTCAAAGTTACAACAGCACTGAAAAAAACGACATGACCGTTTTTCACATGATCATTCCAGCATCCCCATGGTCACACTATTGAAATTCAGATGCTTAGCAACTAGCATGTATTTATGATGGTTGCAATGTCCCAGGGTCATGTGATCACCTTTTGCGACCTTCTGACAAGCAAAGTCAGTGGGGAAGCCAGGTTCACTAATAATAATAATAGTAAAGTTGGAAGGGACCTTGGCGGTCACCTAGTCCAACCCCCTGCTCAGGCAGGAAACCCTATACCATTTCAGGCAAATGGCTGTCCAGTCTCTTCTTAAAAACTTCCAGTGTTGGAGCCTTCACAGCTTCTGGAGGCAAGTAGTTCCACTGGTTAATTGTTCTAACTGTCAGGAAATTTCTCCTTAGTTCTAGGTTGCTTCTCTCCTTGACTAGTTTCCACCCGTTGCTTCTCGTCCTGCCTTCAGGCGCCTTGGAGAATAGCTTGACTCCCTCTTCTTTGTGGCAGCCCCTGAGATATTGGAACACTGCTATCATGTCCCCCTTTGTCCTTCTCTTCATTAAATTATTAATAATAATAATAATAATAATAATAATAATAATAATAATAATAATAATAATAATAATAATAATAAAGTTGGAAGGGACCTTGGAAGTCATCTCGTCCAACCCCCTGCTCAGGCAGGAAACCCTATACCATTTCGGACAAATGGCTGTCCAGTCTCTTCTTAAAAACCTCCAGTGTTGGAGCATTCACCGCTTCTGGAGGCAGGTTGTTCCACTGGTTAATTGTTCTGACTGTCAGGAAACTTCTCCTTAGTTCTCCTTAACAACTGTGTTACTAGCTTATCAACTGCAGTGATTGATTTGACAACTGTGACAAGAAAGATGGTAACATGGGGCAAACCTCACATTGCTGTCCCACTTAGCAACAGAAATTTGGATAGAATAGAATTCTTTATTGGCCAAGTGTGATTGGACACACAAGGAATTTGTCTTCGGTCCATAAGCTCTCAGCGTACATAAAGCTATGAGTGATAAATCATGATCATAGTCATCATACAAATACATTCATCATAAATCATAAGATGCAACACTTAGTCATAGTCATAGGATACTAAATAATCAGTTGACATAAATCATACTAGGAAACTAAAACAATATAAATTGTAAGATATAAGCAACAAAGTTATAGTCATAAGATAAGGAGATAGGTAATAGGAAAGATGAGAAGAATATTAGTAATTCAGCCTTATTAGGTAGTTTGACAGTGTTGTGGGAATTATTTGTTTAGCAGACTGATGGCATAGGGGGAAAAAAGTTGAGGACTACCTGTAGTACATATATAGTCCTCGACTTATGACCACAATGGAAGCCCAAAAGTTCTGTTACTAAGTGAAACTTTTGTTAAGTGAGTTTTTGCCCCATTTTATGTTTCTTGCCACAGTTGTTAAATGAATCACTGCAGTTGTTAGTAATACGGTTGTTAACTGAGTTGGCCTTCCCCATTGACTTTGTCAGAAGGTCACAGAAGGGGTCACGCGACCCCAGGACACTGCAATTGTCATAAATGTGAGACAGTTGCCAAGTTTCTGAATTTTGACCATGTGACGATGGGGATGCTGCAACGGTCATAAATGTGAAAAACGGTCATAAGTCATTTTTTTCAGTGTGTCGTTGTAACTTCAAACAGTCACTAAATGAACTGTTAAGGACTATCTCTATTGCAGCGGTAGTGTTGTGGGAATTATTTGCTTAGCAGACTGATGGCATGGGGGGGGGAACTGTCCTTGTGTCTGGTTGTTCTGGTGTGCAATGCCCTATAGCACGGGCGTCAAACTCGCGACGTCACATCACGTGTCGCGACGTATCGCGGCTTTTTTCCCATTACCGGCAATGGGGTGGGCGCAGTTTTAGCATGACACATCCGGCCCGTGGGCCGGCAGTTTGACACTCCTGCCCTATAGTGTTGTTTTGAGGGTAGAAGTCGAAACAGTTTATGTCCAGGATGCGAGGGGTCTGTAGATATTTTCACAGCCCTCTTTCTGGCTCGTGCATTATACAGGTCCTCAATGGAAGGCAGGCTGGTAGCAGTTGTTTTTTCTGCAGTTCTAATTATCCGTTGAAGTCTGTGTCGGTCTTGTTTGATCGCAATGCCAAACCAGACATTTATAGAGGTGTAGATGACAGACTCAATAATTCCTTTGTAGAACTGTATCAGCACCTTTTTGGGCACTCTTGAGCTTTCTGAGTTGGCGCAGGAAGAACATTATTTGTTGTGCTTTTTTGATGACATTTTTGATGTTGGGTGTCCATTTTAAGTCTTGAGATATTATAGAACCCAGAAACTTGAAGGTCTTTACTGCTGATACTGTGTTGTCTAGTATTGTAAGAGGTAAATAGAATAGGAGGGTTTTCTCCTAAAATCTACAATCATTTCTACAATTTTGAGTGTGTTTAATTCAAGATTATTCTGGCCGCACCACAAGGCTAGTGGTTCAACCTCCCGTCTTTATGCCGATTCATCGTTGTCTCAAATGAGGCCAATCACTGTTGTATCATCTGCAAACTTCAGTACTTTCACAGAGGGATTTTTTGAGATGCAGTCATTGGTATATATAGAGAGAAGAGAAGTGGAGAGAGCACACAGCCCTTGGGGGGGGGGGCTGTGCTAATTGTACAGGTATCTGATGTGATTTTGCCTAGCTTCACCTGCTGCTTCCTGTCTGTTAGAAAACTTATGATCCACTTACAAGTGTTGTTAGGCACAGTTAGCTGATTCAGTTTAGTTAGAAGAATATCTGGAATGATGATATTGAATGCTGAGCTAAGGTCTACAAAAAGTACCTTTGCATAGGTCAGTGATGGCAAACCTTTTAGAGACCGAGTGCCCAAAAACCATCCCCCCACCCTGTTCCCGCTCTGCCCTGCCAGCTGGGTCATCCACCACCTCCACGGCCCGCCACAGATGACCCAGGCAGCCCAGCAGCACCATGGTGGCCACACCCTCCGCCCGTGCCCTGCAGCATTATCTGCGCGCGACGGGGCACAAGGGCGGAGTCTTATCCCCGCTGCCCGGCTACTATGTCCTTGGCTGCGCTGCTTTGCGTGGGCCGTGCCCGGGGGCGACTCTCCTCCAGGGGGGGCTGCTGGTGAGGGGGCCGTGAGAGGAGGCGGGGCTGGGGCGAGGGTGCGTGTGCCCACAGAAAGGGCTCCGAGTGCCGCCTCTGGCACGCGTGCCATAGGTTTGCCACCACTGGCATAGGTCCTTGGAGATTCAGGATGTTGTAGGATGTACTGCAGAACCATATTAAGAGCATCACTGGCCGATTTATTTGCTCGGTAGGCAAATTGCAAAAGGTCTAATTGTGGTAGTATGTCGAGGATCACCTGTATGCAATCTGTGCTACTTTTTGTGACAAGGACCTGTGGAGTTGCTGGAAGTGAGCGAATGAGAAACCCTTTCCAATATAATGTATAATGTGTTCTTTTCTTGATCTTGGCTTCTCCATTGTTGCAGAATATGTTTGCTGCTCTAGAGGCAGAGGAGACAGACGAGGAAGAGGATGATGGAGAGGAAGACTTCACGGAGGAGAAAGAGGAGTCCAAACAGGACAGCCAGCCGGTAAGGATCCAGTTCTCTAGGGTGAAGTATGGACCCATTGGTTTAATGCACCTTCCTCTGTGCGGCCCCTTCTTACGTATGATGGGGTAGTGTGGGTGACTTGGGAAGAAGAGCAGACCTCAGGAATCTGACATCCTGCAAGATATTTCAGACATTTGAATGCTCTAGAGCAGGGGTACCCAATCCCCGGTCCGTGGACCGGTACCAAGCCGCGGCATGCCAGCAACTGGTCCGCACAAACAAGCAAAGCCCCATCCATGGGATGCAGGCAGCACACAAAACCACATCCCCTCCGGTCCGCGGAAAAACCTCTCTCCACGTAACCGGTCCCTGGTGCCCAAAAGGTTGGGGACCTCTGCTTTAGAGCTGACACTGCTGCCTTTGTTCTCCACCCATGTCAATCATGAATTGGGGAAAACGTCTTAGAATTTTTGTATGTGATCATGTGAGGAGTGGGGGAGGGCAATCGAGAAATGAAAAGATATTATTTAAGCCTCTGCTCTTTATATAGGTCCATAATTTCCCCAAAATGTAAAAAAAAAAAAAAGGGGCCATTTTAGTCCTTTACAGGGACTCAGAATGTGTTACAGAAAAATAGTTTCTGGGGCACCTAGATATGATGGGGATAGCAGCACAGCCTGTTTATCGCTGCTCCATAAAGCTCGCAGTTTTTTCCCCTGGTTCTTGCCCTCTGCACTGTAGAGCTTTCGTCTGGGGAAGGACTCTGCTTGGGGGTGCCAGAGCTTGCCTTAACTGAGTTGGGCCATAATAAAATTTCAGTGGAAAACAGTCCATAGCATCTCAGGAAGGCACTATGGGAACTCCACTAAATTCCTGAAGGTGCCCCGCCCCTGCCCGCCCCCCTACTTGCCTATGAGATTAACTGTCAATCTACAAACTTGGGATTCACACAGGAATCCTAGCAGTTAGTGTAGCGATAGCAATACCACTTAGACTTATACACTGCTTCACAGTGCTTCACAGTTCTCTCTAAGCGGTTTTACAGAGTCAGCATATTGCCCCCCAAAAATCTGGGTCCTCATTTTACCGACGCTGGAAGGATGGAAGGCTAAGTCAACCTTGAGCCGGCCAAGATCAAACTGCTAGCAGTCTGCAGAAGTAGCCTGCAGTACTGCACTCTGACCACTGTGCCACCACGGCTATAATGTACTTTCTAATAAGATTGGAAAGACCGTGTAGAAATGTTTCCTTCCTCTCCCGAAGACGAGTCACTTGTGATAATAGAAGTTGAAGCAGCCAAGTAGTCAAAGCAGTCTATTGAAGTAAGATTTAGGCCTGGAGATGACATGACGGGACTTAATTCTGCATCCAAGCTCCAAAGTTTTCACAGTAAACTCTTTTGGTTCCCAACATGATAACGTTCGGCTGCCGTGAACTGGATTCCTCTAAACTCTGTAGGCATCGGAGGAGGAAGATGAGAAGAAGGAAGATGATCCCTATGCACATCTCAGCAAGAAGGAGAAGAAGAAACTCAAGAAACAGGTTAGATGTGGTCCTCCAGTGGAGGCCAGCTGTTACTTCTAATTTTTGTGACTTTGCTTGACTTTGCAGCCATAACACACATTCTTTTTGTATACTCTTATTCTCTTATCCCTGTTTTAAGGGTTTATAGAAGCAGATTGTACAAGGGAAGGTAGAAATAAATCTCACCGCAGTTGAGATTGGGAATAAACTTTGTCGTGAAATCTATCTAAAGTAGTTTGCGGGACATTTGAAATTGTAGCAGAAACATGAACCCCTAGATCCCATCTGATGAGGAAATAATAATAATAATAATAATAATAATAATAATTATTATTATTATTATTATTATTATTATTATTATTATTATTATTATTATTATTATTATTATTATTATTAATAATAATAATAATAGTAATAATAGTAATAATAGTAATAATAGTAATAATAATAATAATAAAGTTGGAAGGGACTTTGGAGGTCTTCTAGGCAGGAAACCCTATACCATTTCGGACAAATGGCTGTCCAGTCTCTTCTTAAAGACTTCCAGTGTTGGAGCATTCACCGCTTATGGAGGCAGGTTGTTCCACTGGTTAATTGTTCTAACTGTCAGGAAGTTTCTCCTTAGTTCTAGGTTGTTTCTCTCCTTGGTTAGTTTCCATCCGTTGCTTCTTGTGCTGCCTTCAGGTGCTTTGGATTCCTGTAGCTTCATTTCCTCTTCAGATAAGATAAGATAAGATAATCTTTATTGTCATTTTTTTACTGTGGGCACAACGGCACACATCAAAAATGAAATTTAGTTGCCCATTCTCAAAGTGAAACATACATGACACACACCTAAACATATTATATACAACATATAATAATAATAATAATAATAATAATAATAATAATAATAATAATAATAATAATAATAATAATAATAATAATAATAATAATAGTAAAGTTGGAAGGGACCTTGGAGGTCATCTAGTCCAACCCCCTGCTCAGGCAGGAAACCCTATACCATTTCAGACAAATGGCTGTCCAGTCTCTTCTTAAAAACCTCCAGTGTTG